TTTACAATATACTAAAAATCTAAACAATACTGATCACGTTTAGGACCATTTCTGTCGCGCACATTACCTCGTCTGTGATTCACATAAGAAAAGAACCGGGTAGTCAAACTGGATTGATTCTTCGCCGCTGGCCCAGTGTGACCGCAGACGATTACGAGCAACTTTGTGAACCGGCATGAACTAAATATGAAAATATATTTCACTACATAACATGGCACGGTTTTCAACCAGAAGTACTCAAACAGCTCCATGATTCAGAACGTAAACGACAGCGATATTGTGTTTTAGACAAGGATGAAATGCGGTACGAGTGAGCGATCCTGTGGGTTGATTATGGTCAAAATTGTGGAACCAACATCCGAGGGTAACGGGGACCATGGTTACAAGGGGGCTTTAAACAGACCGCTAGCATAGATCCTCGAAAAGAAAATCACATGATTCATTTAGGATTGCTGTTACACTGATTAACCAGAAGAGTTTAAATAATATATATATATAAAATGGAGACGTTTTAATCAGATCATTAAAAAGCCCGAATTGTTTCAGAATCAATGTTCTCACCCGAAGCCACTCCGCTGGATTGATTCAATTGTTGTGTGGACAAAGTCGAAGAAATGACAGACTGACTGAGACGACGTTGACGAGGGCGAGTGTCACGGTCACTATCTGGGCCGCTAGTTCGCGGATCAGTAGGACTGCGTACCGAGGTCCCAGTAGCCGCCGCAGCCAGGACGGACGCAGCTGCACGAAGCAGCTCTGGAAGTGACTCCTCCGGGTGATCGGACGTGGCTGAGACGATCGAACCGGCCCCCGTGCTGGTGCCACCACCACCACCTCCATTACTCGACAGCCGGAAGGACGTGGAAACAGGACAGTGGAGTCCACCGGTGGATAAGCTACGAGATTGACTCTTTCGACGTGCTGGTGAATAAACAGTAGATGAGAAATGTAAGATGACTCTGATACTCAGGATGATGATGACGACGAGGATAACGCGATGGGATAAGAAAACGGCACTCACCTGAAGCTCGAGACGGAAGAAGACGTCGATGACGGCTACGATGACGAGTGGAGAACTACAATATAGAAAGGACGTAACAGTGACAGAAATGCAAAGACACGTGGGACAAATTAGCAAACCTTAACATTTTTGCGAAAATAAAAATGGTCCGATCGGATATCTGGTCTAGTTGTGAAACGCTCGCGTCTGGATTAGTTGGGGTGATCTACCAGGTGAATGACGATATTTTTTTGAAAAGCAATGATCAAAACAAATTCGATCACCTTAAAAAGAAAAGACACTGAAACGCGCACAGAGAGGAATATTTAGGTACAAAACACAGAAAAGAAATGTACTACGAATTTCCCGGCTGCAGAAGAAAGTGATGCTCAGTATCCAATCGGATCGCTTAAGAATAAGTCAGGAATGGAAAAATAGGTTTATCCTATTGCTTATGTTCCGTGGGGATGTGGAAAGTAAGAAGAAGGAACGCGAACAAAGAGAGCTGTGATCCGGGATACATGACTTAGCAGAGTGAGATTGGATGATATGCTGAAGAATGGTCTCATTGGAACGAATGTATGGTGTGCACACGTCTACAGCCGAAACCTTGAGAGAATACACACTTATTTTTGTTTTACTCGTTTTTTCTTTTTACAACTAATCTACATCAACGACGATTGACCAAGTAGATGAAAGAGTTGATCCGTTGAGATGAATGATTGTACAAGTCAAGGTTGTACGCCTGGAATAAATGGCAAACGGATTGCGGAAGTATCTTCACAGCCACAAGTAAACAGATATACATAAACATCCCTCTGCCACCCCCACCCGCCAGCACACACACAGCGGTCCCAGAAAATAATGCGCATCCCACGGGGAAATCATTTAGAAAGAGAATGAAAACAGTTTAGACAAAGATTTATCCTGCCCACAGTACGGACCACAAGTTTAGCTTTCCCACACACTTCGTTTGAAGTTTGGCATATATATTTTTCATATCACAAATGGTTTCCTTAAAAAAGACGGATGCGTGATATATCGTCTCCCTTATGATCGCATGGCAGCGATGAACTTATGTGGCCGAGTAGAAAATTCAAGACGGATAAAAGTTGGTGGGAGGAAAAAGTAGCAGAAATGGGGCCTATAATCGCATCAGAAACCAATCGATTGACACACTCACGTTATTCGCTGCTACCAACTGCTTCTGGCACTGATCGTACAGGGCTGCCATTGATCGGACTAAACTGGATTGCGCGGGTTCACTGACTAACACAAGTTCGTTTCCGGATGCAGTGTTCGGTCGTCGTTCCAATCCTGATGCGGTGGCCGGTCGATCCGGGTGACGATGATCAGGACTACTGTTGCTTGCCGTCGTCATCGTGGTTGTTCTGTTCGCAGTCACGGTGGTCGTGAAGCCAACAGCAGTTGGACTTCCGGTAGATTGAACTAATTGGTCATATAGATGACGGAAAAATACTAAGGTTGGATGATCAGGAGATGTGTGTTCGTACAGGGATATGACACGTGCCACATGAGGGATCAGATCATCAAATGGGGCAGGAACGGGATGAAACGGTAAATCTATTGTGTTCACGAGGAAATCCGGTCCGGTCGAATTTACCGGGTTTGCGCCGGTGAGACGATCAGCGGGTGGTGACTGACTATCAATGTCTCTGGGCATACAACTATCCTCTCCACGAATCTTGCACGATGAGGTTGAGGCGACGTCAGAGGAAAGTAAACGATCACCTCGTCCAAGAGAACGTGATTTCAAATCCGAACTGGATAACACATCAGCCAAGTGAACTAGTTCACACGTCGAGCTGGTCTCCTTCACACTGGATGCGGCCAAGCTGGAGTCTTCGTGGAATAAAGGCACAAGAAACAGGCCGGGGTCCCACCAACTGAATCCAACCACATTGTTGTACAGACAATTACACAGTAGCTTTTTAACTGCATGTGAATGATTTATGGCACGTTTTGTCGGTAAATGACCGCACCAACGTCCAAGGCGACAAGAAACACGTAGGCTGTTTGAAAAACGAATGAAGCAGAAAAAGAATTTATAACTAACACATTATGCATAGAAACAACTACTTCACAGATGACATATATTCACGTTTTCACCGCTACATAACGCACAAATCTCGCCGTCATTTTGCTGACCGGAGACGTTGACCAGTTCATAACTAGCTGCAAACCACTACGATACCACATAAGTTCAGATCGCAAAATTCCGAAAAGTCCGGAATGGAAGGGAATGAATGAAATTGTAAATAAGGATAAACGAAATGCTTCCCTTGATGGTTCGTGACTATCAACGCCTTCCGATGAGAACGACAGAAGGGGGGGGGGGATACTTCAAGGTGCGTGCCTCAATCAATGAGGCACATTCAAAATCCAGGTAACGTAATCACAATTACCAAAGGGAGAATGAAAACAACGCACAACCCAAGTGTTACAATGCATCAGCAAGATATCATCGCATCAAACAAACAAGGGTGTGTCAAAAGCATCTGACTGGAAGCTGTTGTGTCTCCAACCCACCGTTACTTCGATGACAAAACAAGGTGTAATGTATTAGGTGACTGACATCACATTAAACCAAATGACAACCGAAAACCCAGTCAAAACTTGGTGAAATCTACCTCTTATCCATTTTGACAGATCGGGGTATGCGCGTCAAAGCGACTATTTCTTAAGAGATTCATTTAGGCGGGAAAACGAATATTCGGTTTTTTTCGAAGACAATAGCAATAAACAAACGGCGGAAATAAAAAGAAACAATGGGGTCAAGATGGAAGACTTAGCTCAGAACTCATGCTATTTACTGATCAGTGTTGGAAGGCTGGAATAAGATATCTTATGAGTGCTGTCCTGTGATAAGTTACTGCATATAGGAGAAAAGATAAAAGATCTAGCATCAGATGGCACAAAATTTGTGGACGAACTCAGAAGATCAACTGATGCATTTGTAAATAACTGTGGAGGTTTGACGAAATCGAATGAGAGGAAAAACTGCATTGACCAGACTTTTGGAGTGCAATTTCAATGGCCATTTGGAATTACTGCCTTACTCTAGTTAAAGGAGTGAGCCAAATAATCACGAGGATATATCATTTGGTTATGGATAACGGCAAACAAGCTCTGAGGAATGCTGGATTACGTAACATTCCTATGGGAAAATCGTGTCAACCGATAGGGGAACGGTAAAGCCTAGGTGGCGAGTATAGGATGTGAATCTCTGAGTTCAAACGATCCAACAAACCAGTGATAGCGACCCGAAACAAACGATTGAGTACGTCACAGCGGTGAGCGGTTTAACCCTTAGCAGTTAAATGATGAACTGAAGCATCAGCTGAAGCAACTGGGTGTCCCAAACTGAGATCAGCGAACAAAAAGCTGTTTATGTAACTGCAGAGCTATCGCTCCAAGTGATTTTGATATTTTCCACATTGCCTGTCAATCGACAAACCAGTTATTGACAATTATAGTCGGGTACACAGGTCTACATTCAGGTAACGACGTTTGTCTGTGGATTGCCATTCGCGATGACCTAGCTATCCAGATAGAAGACGTTAAACGGCAGCAGAAAGGTAAGTAAAAATAAGCAACTCGGTGTTTGGTTACAAGACCAACAGTTCTGAAACCGAGTATGCAACCGCTCCTTGCGTGGACCCAGCGACAAAATGAACTTACCTAAGATTTATCGAGAGGCTTTATCTTTAACAAGTGACCAGGCAATGACGTGATTATAGGACCCTATGCACATGGATATACGGTTGGAATGTCACTCAACGCACAAGAATATGATTACAGGATACAAGAGTTGTTCATCTATGGGCACTAAACTGCGAATCCACCCACGGAAGACAAAAAATTGTTATTCGGACAGCTACCAGGCAGAATAATCCTAAATGAAGTATTGCCACATAAAAAGAAGGCTCGGTTGATCAACTCGTGAGTCGCTGGACGACACCGCCTATGGAACGTCGAGTATAAGGTATACCTATCTGGACAGTGCTGCTGTATGATGCAGAGACTTGTTGTTACGGGGAAAGGAGGAAGATGGACTACAGACACGCAAATATCGCTAGCCACGCCGTACTGAGTTAATCTGGTGGGAGAACCAGACGAGCAATGTCCAGGTTGGACAAAGGTTCGAATATTCGCGGTCTCCCGATGGTGGTTGATCTGCGCAGATTGTGATAGTTGGGGAATGTCAACAGATAGGTTTTTTCAGGGTATATTGCTTTCAAGATAGATGGCAGATGGAACAGAGGTGATCCGAATAGGACTTTACATGAGCAAATATAAAATCTCACCAGGACACTAGGTCGTTTGGTGCTAGATTTTTCCCGCTCAAGATACAACTGTTTTTTAATTCACCCGAGCGGCAACAAATTGGAGAATATATAGGATGCTCAGATAGAAGCAACAGATTGATTCTGATGAAAATATTGCAAGCGGATTCAATCAGACACGAAAATGACTGTCACGGAACTTGAAGCTTCTATTCGTGACCACCAGAAGTGGATCAAAGTGACTCAACTGGTTCGTTTGCATCCTGTCCACGTACCTACATGGCACATTCCACATGTGTCAGATTTGTTTCCTTCCCTGTTTAATCAGCGTTACAAAACTGCGATGGTCAATTAGGCAGAGTGTATGCTGAGAGGAAGCTACACGTCAGTCACGTACGAGACCACACTCCAGAGACGATTCTATCAGATGCAACAAGATGAATCGGAATTGGTACATATCGAAGTTGTGCAAAAAAAAACAAATAACAACGAGGAGATAGCCACGTTCATTGGATACCTGCCACCATGCAGCAGTCCTATTCAATCACAACAGAACGATTATTGGTTCGGTCCCTTGAAGTCAATATTGACTGAAACATAAAGCAAACATATTTAGACGTTTTTCGTGACCGGAAAGTGAACATATTTTACATGCGAATAAAACAACTCACAAGGTGAAAAATAACCCCCCGCTGGATTCACGAAGTGCTCATCTCTAAATATCAGTTTCCTTAGCATGTGGCGAATATTTGCAGTTGCTGATAGTCAATCGGCGCGGCGAAACGGAGTTTAGAGGCTAACGAGTAGAGATGTATCTGTTTGAGAACAGGGCAACTCAACAGATGGCGTTCTTTTTCAACTTGCGTGATGGAAGAAAACGACTAGAGCGGTTAGATGATATACGAAAACTGCTACGCTTTGGGACGTGATTGCAGTCCATCTTCAATGGACTACGGTAACTCAACCGTAATACCAGATTCTAAATGCGAAAACTTACACAAGTCTGGATAAAGAGAGGAAATCTTTGTCCTATTTGACAGTAATTCGAAAACTTTCTGTTAATCCAGCATGGAAATGGACTGATGAAGGGAAGGGTGAAAGTGCCCCTGCACCAGTGAGTGTATATCATAAGGTGGACAGGTTTTAGTCAACAAACATTTGGTTGGATATGATGAAATCGATACGGTACGCGTGCTCATGAGAATTCTTGAAATAAACTGCCCCCTCACAGACAGTCTGTCAGACAAGTGTGAAATATAATATAATAATAAACTGCCCCACAAGTCAAATGGAATTGAACGGTAGTGTTCCACCTACAGAGGAAGCATGAATAACATACATCACTTCGTGTCGCAAACGGTGGCGCTCGTGCATGTACTCAGTATTCTTGCAACCCCGGTCTAGATGAATTTTGTATCCTCACATTGACACCACTCTTGACATACAATTCTTAATTTTACGCTTTTATACAGATAGGAAGCCAAAAGATAGCAACGAAAACCGGCGAATGAAAATGCATGGTTGATGGTTGTGAAAACGGAAGCTGAACCCCGTTGTTGATGAGACTGCAACGAACGGATGGGATGATCCACACGGTGGTACAAGCCAATCAAGTGAACCTGGTCAAGGGAACAGTCGCGATTATGTCGAAAGTAGCCCGCCATGAACAAAAGAAGTTCCATCAACAAAATGGCACAGTATTGTAAGACTCCATGTGAACAATAAGCGGCAGTTCCAGTGAGCAATCAGAATGACATATTCCGAGGGAGAGGTTGAAGTCAAGAAATATCATCGAACGACCAAAACAGAGCCGGATGGTGGAATTTGCCTAAGGGCGGATGGGAAAAGGATAATCTATCTGGCTGTGAGAGATTCGCAGAACTTGACCTGTTATACCACCATATCGGTTTGTCTTGTCTTCCCGTAAGATTTTGCAAAAGGTAGACGGACAACGACAACGTTTAACACGGTATACCACAAAAGGAAAACATTTATAATACCTCATAAAAGAACTAACAAAGGCGATCGGGAGTCACATGAATAACTGTTACCCACAATACGCAAGTTGAAGAAGTGGTGGGTGAGAAAAGGATAGTCATTAAATGTGCCTAATAATGTTGCTCAGGTAGATTTGATTCAAATTGAAACATTGAGTACCCTTTATGAACTTCATCAATACAGAAAGAAAACAAATGTGGCGAGATACTGACATTTCGTTTAATGACCCCAACCATGAAGTAAAACAAACAGGCGAATATAGAGCGCTTGGGAAAACTGAACGAAATGTTAACATATCGCGACATTTGTCTTCTTGTTGTATTGTTGAGATTCAATATTTTCATACTTTTATTCGACAAGCTCCATCGAACACTGAAGGTTTACCATTACATATTACATAGAATTCAATCGTAGAAATTTGGTTTCTGTTGTAGCCAAAGATTCGATTTGATGAGAAGTAACCGAACTGAAACTAGATCCAAACGTTCGTTCATAACACTGGACTCGTTACAGTTAGTGTTTCTTTGAAACTACTACCAGTTTTTCACTCAATAGCGTTCCGAATTGGTTAATGGAAGATTGTACCAGATAAATGCGGATGTCAAATGGAAGAGCAAGAGAGCCGTGAACAATACAATTTCATCACTCACCGTATCCAAAATTTACGCCAGCTATGCTTTACTGACACATCGAATAGGCACATTGAGGCGAAGATCACATTCAGCACAAAGTAGGTGAGCAAATGCAAGAGGATCGGTCCGGCCATCGGTTTGTGTATTTGTGCTGGACTTGGGGCGTACGGATTGAGACGACCAAGTAATATATCCTGGTCTCGTGTGACTACTACTGCTGCTGCGGTGGCAGCGAAAACACTGCTCCCGGTGCTCGGTTGCGGGGACACCTCAATGGGAACACGAGCGAACGAGAGTCCTGTCGCACGCACAGTTCGACCCCCGGGATCAGTAGGTGACAGTTCATCGTGCACAATTCGGGCACCATGAGTATCCACGATTGCAGATGATGCTGCCTTGCTTTTGGATGCGGACCCCAGACAGGCTGTGAGGGCAGCCTCACTGTCCAAGCCCAGAAGACGATGGCTGATTTGGCAACTAAAATGGAGATCAACATGTTACGTGTGACGGTGGCTTGATTCATTTTTGTAAAGAACCATTTCGTTTGCTGTGCGTAGAAAGTCATTTGGAGACAAAAGCAAGGCTCAAGCAAATATTTCGGCATCGGTTCGCATAACCAATATTGAAACGTTGTGTGACGGTTTCCACTGCTGTTTGCGCTTAGTATTCAGTCGAATAAGAAGGAAGAAGTTTAAGGCGACGCCTTAGTAGAATTAAGATCTAGAAGACCTGTTAACCGTATCTGCGTAGAACGCAAGTAGACGTCATCGTTTTCCACACTGTTACACAACCCTCTGTTTCTAACCACTGATTAGGTCAATCACGGGACACCTGATTGGAAAGTATAACGCCAGCTATATGATTGAGTGCCCTAATCAGGATTTATGTACCCCTACACCGGGTCACGTTTTGATCATATCTTCTTCCATCTACCAACTACCTCTGTTAGTCGTACACCAAGGAAACCTATTCGGTGGAATACGTAACTGGAGTAAACGTGCTATAGGCTGGAAAAAAATGTGCAACAAAAAAGCGTGAATTCTGATACATGTAAATGCATTGATTGTAGCTATGTATATCACATTTCACAGATTTATCACTAATGCGCAGATCCTAACATCATTGAACCACTTCACTGGCAGAGAGTGTGGAATATGACTCATTTCCGTGTTGCACGCGTGACGAGAGTTAACCGAAACTCATGAGTGTAAAACGCTATTCCTCGACGGAAACGACCAAGGCTAAGTGATGCAAAATTCATTCGCGTGATAGCAGAAGAGATTAGCACGCATCATTATGTTTGCAAACGCAAAAGTCGAAACATAAATCGAGGTAAATAACTCTCCGTCTTGGACGACAAATTGATCTAAAACACGGTAGTGAAAAAAAATAGAACAGTTTCGGACCAACATAAGCACTCACAAAATCAAAGCCGTCTGAGATTCCAACCATACAGGTTCTCCGACGAACGTGTACGCTTGCACGGAAACCGAGAACAACCACAAGCCGATCAGTACAAACAAGAAAACAGCTGTCACGTAGAGCAATCGAGTTGATGTGTATCAGGTGGGAGGGGGAGGTAGAATTAAAGAAAGCGATTAGAGTATAAAATTCTATTAAAAACAACACGCAGTAAAACTGAACCAAAATTTAGTCGGACTAAGAAAATTATTAATGCCAATGTCACAGAGAATGACAAACTGGAATACACCATATCACAGAGGAAGAAACGAGTTGAAAAATAACAATTCACCACAGTAGAAACGTATTCCTCTGGCGGATAGGCACGAAGGTTATACAAATATATGGTATTTGTATGCTACGTGGATCACGATTATCTATGATTCTAAAAATAAGGATAGCTTGTACTGGGTACCCCATAAACCATTAAGCTGAGATAAGCAGAACGTACCTTTAAAGGGTAGATGCATTCCTCTTTTGATCTCTAGGCTTAGACTTATCAGGGAGATACAACATTTATCGCCACGACTCAGAGTGGCTACAGCATATCCACATATCAAACTATGAGTCATAAGAATATTGGACAGCAAACAAACTTATTTTCGGAGGTATATTAAGTGGGTGAATGCAAAANGTTTTCTAACAGAGCAGCGAAAAGTGTGTTTACAGTCACACTGGCACTGAGCATTGGATGTCGGTTTGGGATAAGCTTAGTTTCGATCATTACAATAATGTTAACTTCTGCAGTGATTCGCAGCCTGACATCCTTGAGGGAGATGAATATTCGCAAATAGCAAGCAGGATTCCAACCAGATCGCAGGTGCATCAATCAAATCTTCGATAACGCCAAACGCGTTGCCGACTGAAAATCGCAGGATTCGTTTACCTGAAAGGAGCCCTCGATTCAGTTGATCGTGAATGCCTAATGGATTCACCGCTACGCAAAGGAATGCCACGGAATTATGTAAAACTACTGAAACCATTGTACATGCAAAGTTCTGATGGTGTAATGGTCTACGGCGCTGTAATCAAATCGTTCGAACCGAGCAGCGGTGTTCGGCAGAGGTATCTTACTTCGATATTCCTATTGATATACATCACAGACGAAATACTGGAGAACGCTCTAAGAGGTCTCCAAAATGTAGGTATTGAATGGGCCGCTGGAGGAAAGCTGTGCGATTTAGAGTACGACGACGACATTTTCTATGGTATAAACGCAAAATTAGATTATGTAATCTGTGTTGATCATAGAGGTTCACTTTCTTTCTTCTTCCATCAAAATAGGTGCAATTTCTGTCTACCCTGCATATGCCTTGCGCGTCTGGCGGCGATCAGTGAAATTCGGCGTACGATGAAGACGATGATAGCAGTGATATTTTTTCATTTGGATCACCCATCCAACTTCGAGAGGCA